GACGTGCATGAAAAAGCGCGAGGCCTTTGTCTTTCTTTTCTTCCAGCGTCGCCTCTGTCAAACCAACCCACCCCCGCCGAGGCTGGTCCCCGGCAAGCACATGCACCACATAACAAAAAAGGGAGGTGATTAAGTCACAAAGGTGAAGCACTCATAAATGGATTAATATTCCCTCTTCAAGAGGCTTCAGAGAACTGCCCGTATGCCCCTTTCATCATGTGGTCAGAGCACTCACAGTAACCAAACAGCAGGCCTTTACTAGACACCAGATCCGCCCGCTTGACCATGTACTGCCCAGCCTCTAGAACTAGGTGAAATAAATTTATGTTATTTATAAATCATGTAGTCTAAAGTATTTTGTTCTAGCAACAAAAATGGACTAAAACCCTAGAAGTTTTTTTTTTTGGAGAGGTTTTTGCTATAGGGAGCGTGCACTTGTCAGACAGACAGAGACAGAGAGACAGAAAGCGAGAAATCACCCCCCAGGGGGGATGGCCATGCCGCAATCCCTTCTCCTTTTGGGATCTTGGGCACGCATGCACACGTGCCCAGTGTGAGTTTTAAGACACCGGGTCTAGGATGCGAACTGCAGTCAACTACGTGGGAGTCCAGCGACCTAGCCATTACACTAACTGCTGGACCCTAAAACCCTAGAATTTTTCAAAAACTGGCTCTTCTGATTAATTTAGCTTCCTGGTGGTCTGAGGTTCTGACACCACCACTTTATTTATTTTTTTGGAGAGATTTTTGCTAAAGGGCATGTGCGCTTGCCAGAAAGACAGAGAGAGACAGAGACAGAAAGCGAGAAATCACCCCTGGGCGGGGAGGGTCAGACCACAATCCCTTCTCCTCCATTCTCCTCTTGGGAACTTGGGCACGCACGCACACATGCCTGACATGAGTTTAGGTCACCGGGTCTGGGACTTAAACCATGGTTGACTACATAGGAGTCCAGTGACGAAGCCATTACGCAAACTGCTGGTCTCAACACCACTTTTTTTAAAAATTCATTTTTGGGGCCAGCAGGTGGCATGGTGGTTAGGGGCACTGGACTCCCACATGGCTGACCATGGTTTGAGTCCAGGACCTGGTGGCTTTCCCTCTCTCTCTCTGTGTCCCTCTCTGGTCAAATTAAAATAAATAAATAAATAGTTAAATAAATAATTCTTTAAAAAATAAAAATAAAAAAATAAACATTCATTTTTGCTATAGCACGCATGCAATTATCAGAGGGAAAGTGAGAAACCACTCCCCAGGGAGGATGGCTACAGCACAACGACTTCTCCTCCCTTTTTTTGGGATTTTGGACACACACACATGTGCACAGCATGATTTTTCAAGCTGCTGGACCTGGGACTTGAACCATGGTCAATAATATGAAAATCTAGTGCCTTAACCACCCTGCTACCTGTTAGCCCCCAAAACTATCTTGACTTTAAAACTCTTTTTCAAACATTCCTCAAGGAGGGATGCCCATGCTGTAATACCTTCTCCTCCATTATCTTCTTGGGTTTTTGGACACATGTATGCATACACACTGTGTTTTTGTGTTCATTTTTCTGTAGGGTGCATGCATTCACCTGAGAGAGACAGAGACAGAGAAAGGTAAAGTAAGAAATCGCACTCCAGGGTATGGCCACATCAATCTCCTCTCCACCATTCTCTTCTCTGAATGTTGGGAACGCACACACGTGCCTGATGTGATTTTCAAGCCGCAGGTCCAAGACTCAAAGTGTAGTTGATTATGTGGGAGTCCAGCACCTTTATCACTATATCACCTGCTGGTCCCCCAGGTGTGTTTTTTAAGCCTCCGGGTCCAGAACTCGAACTGTGCAATTGGCCATGTGGGATCTAGCCATCTTAACTTCTACCGACCTGGTGGCCCAAGCCAACTTTGTTCTTTCCACAACTTTTCTTTGAGTCATAAATTCACATATAGCCAAGAAGTGCCCAAATAAACACCCCCTCCCCATTATCAAGAAACAAGGGACCAGTAGTTAGTGTAATGGCTATGTCGCTGGACTCCCATGTCGTCGACCGTGGTTTGCGTCCCAGACCCGGTGGCTTAAAACTCACGCTGGGCGCATGTGTGTGCGTGCCCAAGATCCCAAGAGGAGAATGGAGGAGAGGGGATTGCGGCGTGGCCATTCCCCCTGGGGGGTGATTTCTCGCTGTCTCTCTGTCTCTGTCTGTCCAGTGAGCGCACATGCCCTATAGCAAAACAAAAACAAAAACAAAAAACCTCTCCAAAAAAAAAAAAAAAGAAACACGACTATTTCCCATCACAGCTAGAATGCTGATTTACTGAGGTATTTCCCTCACCTAATTCCAGATTGAGTGACTTCACAGAAGCTGCTCAGGAAGGGGCAGATTCCATCCTTCCCAATCACTCCCACCCAGGACTCCTGCCACTTAGCAGGAGCCAAAAGTTTGGCCTGGAACCTCTAAGGGGAGACTTCAAATGTTCAGACCTTCCAGTCTGGCCTATGAAGGAAAAGTTTTAATGTGAGGGCTGGCTTGGTAGCACAATGGCAACACACTGCTCAAGTAAAGCTGGAGGAGCCATACAGAGGATGACAGGTTTAGTTCCCTGGCCGATCTGTACACACCAGGCATGCACTCCCGTGATCCTGGCTAGCTTGGAACCCTGTTGGGAGTCCTTGTGTCTTTCTCATACCCTCATAAAAAATAAACTTAAAAAAATTTTTTTTTTAAATTTGAGGACAACAAAAGAAATGCTTCAGGACACTCACGCCAAGTCCACATACTGTAAGACAACCCAGGAAAAAAAGGCCAAGTCCCTGTGTACCTCAAGGCTGGGTCAATACTGAGCAAGGTGGCAGCTTCTGTGGTGTATTTGTCCAGTCCTGTTAGGCACAGTGATGCCAAGGCATGCTCACGCCCATCAACGCTAACCCTGCCTTTAAGAATTTCGAAGTGACGCCAGTCTATTTAATTCTTCCTTCTGCATCTAGGTTAGGCTGTTCTTCCCCTATACAAATTTTCTATGTAATATTCTAGTTTCAAAACTATGAACACATTGAAATTAAAACATATATTAAGATTAAAAAATGAGGTGAGCACCAAAACCCACAGTATGAGGCAGCCCACATTGGCTCCCACATCACCTCCCACCCCTTCTTGCAGGCATGCTCAGGATGCCACAGGCAGCCACCGCAGGGCCTCTCCAAGAGGATGTGGTCACTGCAGTCTTGCAGTCACACTAGGAACAGCAACCTAAGCCAACACCAGCTGGGCTGCTCTCTCCAAAGGAAGCTTGACTGTCTTCTTCAGCAGAACTTCTGTGCCAGTCAGCCCCAGCCCTGGAGGGGTGCCATGCTGTGGATGCGGTTCCCCCAAGAACAGAGTGATGCTGGGATATTAATATTGAAAGCTGCGTTTTGTCTGGATATCATCAAGAATCTGCTGCAGCTCCTCATCTTCAAACCGGCCTTCCAGGCTAAAAGAAAACCAGAAGAAAGGCATGATTTAGCAACTGGCAATTTCCCTGCTCTCTTAGATATTCTCATCTCTGATGATGCTGGCCTGTTTTACCTTTCAACTGTGTTCCTTTGACACTGTTCCTTATAAAAAATTACAAAATACTTAAAACACACAGAAAGCATAAAACACAATCTCCACAGCTAGCCCTACTTGGTTTGGATTGCCATTTTATTGTTGTAGAATACAACTGAATGAACGACCACCAAAGCCAAATTAAGGTTAAAGGGAGTCTTCATTAGCTGGACTCTACAATAATAGCAAGAAGAAAAATAAGAAAACACAACCCCCATGGGGAGACAGCAAAGTTGAATCCCTTCTCCTGCACGTCTTATTCATGCCGGGATCTTGGGCAGACATAACACGTGCCTGGAGTGTTTTTGAAGCTGCTGGGCCTGGGAGGTGAACTACGCAGTTGGCCAAGTGGGATCCAGGTGCATTAACCTCCATGTTAGTGGCTGGCCCTGGGTTTAGATTTCTTAAGAAGCATAATAGGACAACTGATGCCTCCATGTATGTACCCCCATTCTGAAACCTTCCCTTCCTGTCCCAGAAGTAATCAGTATCCCAAATTTGGTACTTATATCCATATATACTTTTATATTTACTACACACATATGTATTCACCAGCAACATGCAGCATTGTGTGTTTTTCTTTTCTGTTGGAGGGTGCATGTCCTTGCCAGATGGAGACAGAGAGAAAAGGAGACGGTACACCATGAGGCATAGTCATGCCACTTTCCTTTCTTCTCTAACTCCCCCTTATGTAAGGATTTGGGGCATGCATGCACACAGGTCTGGCATTTTTCTCAAGCTGTCAAGTCCGGAACTTGAACTGCACTGTTGGCCATATACGATCTAGCCACCTTAACCAGTAGGCCATAAACCCAGCCCTATTTTTAAATTACATAAGAAATTGCATCAGGGCTGGCCCCAAGGCTTAGTGTAAGGGAGCTGGATCCCACCTGGTCAACAATGGTTCGAGTCCACACCCCTGAGGCTTGAGAAGCATGCTAGGTGTACATACATGTTTGCATGTGTGTACGCCCCCAAGTCCAGACAGGATGGAAAGGATTGCAGCATGACCCTGCCCCATTGGGGGCTGCTTTCTCCCCACTACTCCATCATCTCTGGCAAAGGCCTGTGCCCTCTGGGAAAAAAATAAAATAAAATAATATTTAAAAAACAAAGGCCTGGGAACCAGCAGTTAGCGTAATGGCTATGTCGCTGGACTCCCATGTAGTCGACTGCGGTTTGCATCCTGGACCCGGTGGCCTAAAACTCACGCCGGGCGCGTGTGCGTGCGTGCCCAAGATCCCGAGAGGAGAATGGAGGAGAAGGGATTGCGGCGTGACCATCCCCC